TATATACTTATCGTGGCTATGTGTATGATGTCCATAAATTTAGTCTATAATTGGTGCTGTATTTTTGATTATATGAGGTATACATGAATTTGTATTTGAAACTTGTTTGGTATCGCCCCATATGTATTTGTTTTCTTCCTCTTATGTATGTGTTTTTCTTCTTCCTCATGCGCCAATCTTAACTTGTATGTACTGAATATGTAAGGTATTAGTACACTTTAGGTAGTCTATGTATTGATCGGCTTAGTAACTGGTGCTTTTCGATACTGTGTACATTCAATTTTCATCAACTAACCGTCTTTATGTGATTGTATTGCGTCACCAATATATATGCACCATCTCGCCCTTTGGAGTTCCTTGAAGTGTCGTGCATTGCAGTCCTTGCTCATGTCTCAACCGTAAATAGATATCAGCATATAAATCTGTGTGATCGATGCAACGTTTGTCTAGAAAACCTTATAGTTGAGCGAATTACACACACAGTCATATCTTCTCAAGCGAGCATTATGTGTCATTGGCACGTCTCTGAAGTGCAAGCCTTGTACTCTCGACTTTGTTTACACATTGTTAGGTTTTGTATAGACCGTTAGACATGTGACGGCGTTGATTGCAGAACAAACATGTACACACTGGGGAATGAGTATTATGCGCTTAATGTCGGAACTGCATAAGTGAGCATGTATTTCTTAAGTTATGGACATATCCCATAAAATATATTCACACAATCGCTTGTATATAGTGCACTGGGAGATGTTCGCAGTTGATATTATTAATGCAAAAGCTTTCTCTCCGAAGCAGATTAATTTGTTTGTTGTGCTTTCTTCCCTCAGTCTTTAACGTTCTGTACATGGACCAGACCCACTGATATCATATAGCGTTGCTGGCGACTTCGATATTTGCGAGTTATTCACGATCTGTACGTTCACAACCAGCCGCTGGCGGATAATTTGGTGTCAAACAAACGTCTATATTAGAAAATACGTCAAACTCGCCAATACCACACTAAAGTAGTCATAGAATGGTATCTGTTTATGCTGCCTGTACTCAACAGTCCAGCTTTAGTTTTCATGTCGACAGTCAGGTATTCTTCACGAGTTTATGCTACCGTGTCTCCTAGGGGAAAAAGTCGCTATTCGATGATATCAATCTTATAGCTGCAAGAAGAATTGTACCGTGTTTGTGCTTGACTGTACTTCGGCCAGAATGATTTCTTACGCTTACATATATACTCTCACATACATCAACACCCTGATACTTATTGCTCTGCTAATAGAAGTCTAAATATCTCCTGGGCGAGCATACAAACCTGCCGGGAGGAGTGACCTATCTCCTGGGAGGCTGTACAGGGGAGTTGGCCACATCGATGATATTTGTGCCTCTCGAAGTGTTGAAGACCCGGATGCAGGTACAGGCAATGTGTAGCAGCAGAAGGCACGAGCCATACGTTTCCCTCGCTCACGCTGTACAGAATGTTCTCAAGAACGAAGGGTGGAAGGGCTTCTATCGAGGGTATGTAACCTAGCCTAAAACTCTGAATCATAGTAGAATTTTGTTTGCAACACTGTCTAAATTAGAAGTGGTATTCTTCTATGCTTGAAGTTAATATACCTCGAGCCATTTTACATCGCACATCTCTCTCGCGATTTTCCAAGCTTAGGTTATAAATGGGCAAGCTTCATCGCTTGCACTTGTGTTGGTCTACACCGTGTGTGCGGTGGTGACATGGTTGCCAGCGGCTCTGTCTATGTACGGTGAGCTTTTTAGTATCACTATTTAAATAGTTGATTATACTGAGAGCGGCGGTTTTCATTGTTCGGCTGTCCGCATTAACAGATGTAAATAAACGCCCTCAGCCTTAAATCACGTATACTCACCACACTCGCATCATTTACACTCGTGCATTTACAGGTATTCTGCCACCATGTTCAGAGAGATACCATATGCCGCGGTTTTTTTTCTCGTGTATGAAGAAGTGAAAAGACACGTCTTTTCCAGAGGTTATTCGCCAGACACACACCAGCATGAAACCTCTCAAGATACATACGAAGATACACAGTCATGCGAAAACATAACCTCGACCGTACCCCCAAGGGATTGCGTAGGTCGGTACCCGATCGAAAAATCTGATGGGTCAAATATGGGCGCATCTCCAGCGGTAGTACGAAATTTAGATGAAGGCACGGAATGGGTAGGCACAGGGATTGGTGGAGATGCTGTGATTCACAACGGGACAGATATACAGGACAATGACACCGGAAACAAGAACTCCCTTTGGAACTCATACAAACAAACGGCGGATAAAATAATAATCAATGCAAACAAATTTAGTGATTCAGAAGGCGATCAATACTCAGACGTAGACGCGAGCAACAACGCGTACTTGCGGCCGGACGAAGCGATTGTCACCGGCGCAGTTGCGGGTGCGGTAGCATGTACTGTGACGATACCCTTTGATGTTGTGAAGACACGGTCGCAACTGACCTTGGGCGCTCATGTGGGGCTCATGCGGACAGGCGTACAGCTGGTGGCTAAAGAGGGATGGCTGGTGCTGTTCTCTGGGCTCCCGGCGCGTATACTATACCAGTCACCCCAGGTATGTTTGTTTGTTAGTTACTATGTTTGGTGGATAGCATGTCGTCCGTCAGCTTTACAGACATACGTGTAAGCGAGCATCTTTTCTGTCGGTAGTGTAAGCTTACAGGGGAGTATGCAGGTGTGCCTGTAGCGTCGTGGTATTGTACGTACCACCGAGGATGACGATGCGACACAGTCGCAATGCCGATATGTGTGCGCTCGTTCGAATTAAGTGTATCTGGTCGTTTGAGCGATGCCTTCTGTTGTATGATCTGCCTACAGCACGGCCGTTGACTTTGCTTCATCACAATATCAAACCCACCGTTGTGAGTATTTGTTATACTGATCCAGAGTTTTAGGGGGCCCACACAGTACCTATTTCCGAGTACATAACTGACCTCATTTACATGGTATTGTATGCATTCCCGCGTTCGGGCGTGTGCAGACAATTTTGACATTTTCCATGTATGAGACGAGCATTAATAAAGTAGTGTCAAGGAGAATGCATGTCCACACGTTTGCGCTGTCTACCCTATTCGTATGAGTTTGTGTATACTAAATTTCTAGTTGGTCCTCAACTCCTTCCTCATTACAGGCCGCTATGATGATTCTGATGTACGAATGGGCTTCGTCTATATCTAGTCAGATCTTCGACGGGTCCTGATCAACTGCAGGAACTTGTAATCCAGCTTGAGGTCAAAATTCAATTTCCGCTTAATCCATTCCCAGTATTGCGATGGGTGTATTAATTGATATGGAACTTCAGTTGTTAGCCAACAGTATTTGCCGACACAGCCAGTCAACTGTTGGAAGAATGCTATGGAGCGAGGTTGTGCGCGGGAGTCTAACCTTGATCGCACCACAAACATGAATTTCAAACATCAAGTGGAGTGTCAGACTGAAGAGCTGTGTTTTTTCAAGTCATCATTAACTGTATCGCTCGGATATCTGTCCTAATCACAGACGAGATAGAATCCATGAGTTGTTGTGTGGTGCATGTTTGCAACTTGAGTGTGGGGATCACTTGATTGATACTAGTGGTGGAACCATACTGTGCCGCAACAATCTGCCACCTATTCATAGATGGAGGATATTTGAAAGGCAAGATGCTTTATTCTCTCGCGGCACAGTATCATAAGTTAGCTGGAAAAGAATGAGACTGGAAAGGCAGTCGCAGTGTCTGCGTACGAGAAGTGTCCTGTGGTGTGTATTGTAAAGGATAATGGGCTTTCTCGAAGTGGACTTGTAGACCTATACACTTGGTCGCTACAAAAGCTGAAGTCATATGTGAGTTGCCTCAATCAGAGCTTCGTAAGATATTTTCTGCAATGCGAAGGACATTCCGGTATTGCTGTACTATGTGGAAGTCATAAAGTATCCACGTATAACAAATCAGCACTTTGAAATGGCTTATACAAGCGAACATAGTCATAGAAAGTAACACTCGCCCGTATCAGGAGAGCAATTTAGTATTAGGCTCGGTAAAGCTAGCAGATACACCTGCTGCACGACCGATTTCACTTAGTCGTTTTGCCATGAATAAACCTGTATGACACCCGCATGAAATGAGAGCGCGCAACGATAAGTCTATAGGTTTACAGGAATAGCACTACTGACTTGTGATAGCGCTGCTTATACTATGGTATATAGTGATCGAAATAACTTTCACTATGGTACGTTGCAACCTGTTACTGAATCGAGCTGTCCGACGCCTTGATAGTGTTTCGGCTGTGAAATCTATCTGTGACGTCGACTTCTACAACATACAGCTGATGTACTGACGATTCGATATCGTATTATCACGAAGCATATTCAAGATCAGAAATTTGGCTTGAAGCCAACGTCTTACTATCAAACACACATATAAGCTCGGTGCTGTTAATAGCTTAATTTCTCACCATCGTACACTTTCTAAGCTCATGTACAGTACGCGGAAAGCATTGGTAAAGCGTGCACAACTACGGAGCGAATACCGTTTATAGCAAAAGAAGACAAGGGTTTGTACACAGGATACCCCTCATTCAAGTAAAAGTCCATAATTACGGCAATTCTTTATTGTACCTAATGGTCAGACATACAGGAAGGTGTGGTACCCTTATGATCTCTCAGCTATACCTATTCGAAACCGCAAGCTAGGAATTAGCAAACTACGCTACGACTTAGCAAACTACGCTCCTATTTTGATCGAATCACAATTGAATGATTATTTCAAATAGAGGTAAAGGCAATCACACTACATGGCCTACTGATCCCTAGCCAGTACACAATTCGGAACCGCGTATCATGAAAAAGCAAACTACGCCACTATTTACCCAGTGTGAACCTGCAATAGAAAGCTACGTTTGGGTAGGTTCGATCTATTGTAATTAATCAGGCCGTGCGCGATAAATACCCGCCAACATTATGACTCCCTATAAACATCACACAGTTTTGAGCATAGAAGGGGTAAGTGATAGCAATCAAAAGCAATTCTCTCGAATCCGAAGTGAATCCTATTCGTGCGTCAATATATACTTGACCCGTGGGCAATAAATACCTGCCAAGCATCATGCTGTAATATTTACATAAAAAGTAATATTTTGTGTATAAAGAGACGCTTTTGTGAACGCTTTTTAGTGCTAGAGAGAGACCATCATGTGCAGACTAAAGTAGTAGTCTGTAAACGTAAACACAAGTATATAAACTTTACTTTTGATGTTTTGTCGCATAAACTAAATACCCAAGTATTTATGTACAGACCCAGGTATTTATGTACAGTACATTTACAGATCAGAGCATTTCGGAAATCTCCAGAGATTTTCCGTGGAAAAAGGTATTTCACGAGAGCGAAAAAATTCACTGCCCAAACCCAGCGAACCTCATTACGTTTTACGTTAGTCCGTGATGTATAAAAGCTACACTGAACGTTTACTTTAGATTTCTCCTAAATGTTTTATATAGGTGCAATAGTTGAGTTCTAAGGTGCAGTTTTAGAATATCTATAGGATGATATAGTTCGGCTATTCTATTTAGTAGGTCAGACCATATCTTCCCACTTTTACGTTATACCGAAACATTTTACGATTACGTTAACGTATTCGACAAACTACCATAACGGAATGAGGTTTGACCAAAAGTGAGCGTGTGACAAGTGCGAGTGGCCATTGGCAAGAGGGGCAATTCGACTGATGAAAAGCACGCAGAATAGAATAAATGAAGTTTGTTCTGCTCAGACATACATAGATATAATACACATACATACATCAAAGACCACACACTCCACGTACAGTACGTATATATCTTCACACGAAAGGATAGGGTACAGCCCCATATCTCTCTACTTGAAGTGTTTACAAATATACAAGTATACAAGTATACAACAGAGTCGGTAGTTACTGTCGTATTGTCAAACGGCTAGTTGTTTGGGGTCAGTATGCGGACACGTCGAACGCGGGCGGCCGCAGCTGCCGAGCAGGTAGCGGTTGTCAAGGAACCAACGCCCGAACCTGAACCTGAAGTAGAAGTGGAAACTGAAGCAGTAGAGGAAACTAAAGTAGTAGAAGAAGTTAAAGCTCAGGCGAAGGATCCTACTGACGCGAAAGGTGCAGCAGATGCTGACGCAGCTGACACGAAAGAGAAAGATACGGTTGTTGCGAGTGTCGAAGAGGAACAGGTGGACGAAGATGAGGTAGTGGGCGAACTCACAGATGATGGCGAAGATGCGAATGATTTGCATGAGGCTGGCAAGGTGAAAGACACTGAAGCCGTAGCTGAACCAGCTATTGACACGGTACAAGAGGATGCTGGTATCGTAGCGGGTGATGATGATAAGAATACAAATCTTACTGAGAGAAGCAGCTTAATGGATACATATGCTGAAGGTGCTAAGTCGGCTGATGCGAACGCAGAGCCACAAGAAGACACGACAGCAATAGAAGTGGAAGGGGTTGCAATGAATGAACGCGAGGGTGAGATGAAGGTGGATGAGGATGTAGCGAAAGCAGGGGAGACTGAGGAGATGAAGGTAGATGGAGATGCAACGAACACAGGAGAGACGAAGGAGATGGATGCGGGTGGGGTTACAACGAATGCAGGCGAGACTAAGGAGATGGAGGTGGATGTGAAGCAAGATACGGTGGTCGTCGAGACAACAACAACGACAACAGATGTGGTTAGTAACGATTCTAGCGGTGCTGAAGCAGTAGAAAAGAAGGTGGTGGTGGAAACGGTGACCGAAACAGTGGTAGCTGATGGGGAGGTCAAGGTCGATGCGACTGAAAAAACAGTAAATGACGAAGCTGTAACCGATGTTGCGGAAGTTAAGGTCGAAGCTGTGACTGATGGTGGTACAGATACAGTTGGCAGTATAGGCGTTGTATCTGGAGGCGTTAAACGAGAAGAGCCTACCGCAGCACCAACCGAGCGAGAAGAACGCAGAAAGCGAAAGAAACGAAGTCGTTGGGGCGGTGAAGAGGAAAAGACAGTTACGGCAGGTGTGAGTCTGAACATACCCTCTGGCATGACTGCTGCACAACAAGAGACGTATATCCTTCACCTGAATATCGAGGAAGTCAACAAGAGATTGCGGTCTGAGGATCTGGGGATTCCTAGTGATGTGAGCAAGAGATCTCCATCGCCCGAACCTATTTATGATCAGTATGGAAAGCGATTAAATACACGCGAGCAACGGACTAAAACGAAGCTAGAGGAAGATAGACATAATTTGATTCAGAAGATTCTAGAGGTGAATCCTGAGTATCGGCCGCCTGCAGGTAAGGGGGTTAAATCTCTTAAATGGCTATGTTGGAGTCCGAGTTGGTGGCGTTGGTCAGGGGTGCATGCTATACTAATACGTTACGCCACTTGAGCGAGTGTATAATTCTGCTATTATGCTACATCTGTGTTTTGATGTTCGTGTGCCTATTGTGAATCTTATATATATATATATATAAATCACATACATATATATATAT